GTCACTCGGTGACCCCTTTTGCTTCATTCAGCTGGACGTGCCATGAAGTGCTGCGATGATCAAATTGATATAGAAAAGATTAATCAATCGGAGTGTGTGTATCAAGCGGGAATCTTCTGAAGGCTCGGTGTTGTAACAATTTTTGTGGACCAGAAATTCCCAAAAAAACGGTTCTCCAACACTTCATCATCCGCATCTTGCCACGTGTTGTAAAGTGCATTTGTTGTTGTTTAGAGGGACCACAACTCTAATGTCTTCTATCTCTTAACTTCTTTCAATTCCTAAAGACAAAATATAAACACAGAAAGGGGTCAAAAGTGTCGCATTTCGTGCCCTTCCCGAGTTTATGACCGTGTGTCGGAACAGATCCGTTTTTTTGATTGAAATCGGAGAAAACAGCCCTATCGTAAAAGTTTTAGAGCTCATCACACAGACGGCGGTGATTCAGGATCAGATGGAAGAAAATCGCTCAAAGTAACAATAAAAAATGAGGTCGGAGGTCCGGATGTTGCAGAGTTGGAGGTTAGAGAGTGGAGGGAAAAGTTCTAGATGTTCTAATAGAAGCCCACCCCATACGTCCACTTTGACCTCTATTATCTCGGTTCCTTATCATAAATATCGAAAATCTGTCTACTAACAAAATACTTATCATAATATAAGAAGTAGCGATTTTCAAAATTTTTAATTCTCGAAGGAATAAACAAAAATGATCCAAATTTCTGTAATTCGTCACAGAAAATACTAAACTACTGATAAATGTCATAATCGATGTGTTTTTGTCCAGAAATACTTCATTTCAACGCAATCATTTTTTTTCGTTGCAATTTCTGGGATTTTTCACAGAACTCGAACAGTTCGAGTTCTGGGAAATTGGAAATTTTTGGAAATTCACGTGATTCACAGAACTCGAAGCTCTCAATTTCTGGGATTCTGGAAAAGCATGGGGGGGGGGGGGGGTAGGGATTCAAGAAGGGTCGTGATAAAGCAAAATGAATATTAGGAAATTATCGTTGGACTTGTTGTTTTCCATAAAACGGATCCTTCGAGCTTAAAGATTATTGTTTTCCATGGGAGCTCTATGTTGGCTGAAAAACTAGTTGAAAATTCTGAATCGTATTGGAAGGGTTGAAGTAAAAAAACATTTTTTGCAACGTTCAATTTCTGTGAATCACGTAAAATTTCCAAATTCCCAGAATTCGAAGCCTTCAATTTCTGTGCATCAAGTGTTCTTTTTTATCACCGAATAAATATATATTTGTGTATCGAAAAAATTCTATTGCAAATACAGGAAATACTACTCGAAAAGGCTTTATCGTTTTTTATATAAATTTGAACATTTTTTTCGCTCCGCAAAGAAAATGCGAAATTACTGAAACTTCACAGAAATTTTGGAAATCGAAGTGATTTGGGATGAAAATTGAAAATTTTGAAAATCGCTCCTTCTTATATCATCAACAGTTCATCAGTTGACCACTTTTTGGTATCTCTTAAACGAGCCGAGATAATTGAGCTCAAAGGCGCACCTATATGGTGGGCTTCTATTAGAGCAAGTACAGTAGCCAATTTTGGATGTACAAAAAATATAGTAGACCTTGTTGGATGAAGCTAAAACTTGTCAAGTCAACTAAACAAAAATAGAGCTTCAATATTGTAGTTGACAACTTTTCTGCACGAATTCATCCAAACGAGATATGCCACATGAAACCGACACATAGCCGAAATTATCCTAAAATAGCACTGAATTCAGTCATTGCCTTGTATGATTTATTAGGATTTTCTGAAAAAATTGTATCCAGAAATTCCAAAAGTCCAATGTCTTTGAAGTATAGCAACTGTTGTTTTGTATCCACAAGTCTACCGTAAACCTGAAATAGAAGGACCCCCCCCCCTAATCGTTAACTTTGAGCCAACATATCTCGTTTTGTGTGAAAGATATCAAAAAGTGGTTAACTGATAAATTGTTTATAATGATATCAGCAACATTTTATCAGTTGACAACTTTTTGATATCTACCACAGGAACCGAGATAAATTGGCTTAATATTTCCGGTGAGATAGAATCGAAAATTCAGAATTTACAGCTCTTCGGTTCTCTGGAAAGCAAGATCCTGGTCTGTTCAAAAACGCCAATTTTCAATCTAACATATCAAAATATCATGTTCCAATTGATAATTCTCGAATTTCAAACTTTCTCCAGAACACCCGGCTGCTTCCTCAAGATAAAAGAATCTTCTTCCTCTTCTCTCCCCTCACCACACACATGTTTTGAAACGCTCAAACCGCCAATCAATCACTTTTATCAAAACGTGTCACAACATGAAGACAAGGATCGTTGAGCCTCGAATGAGTTACACGTGTAACTATCTGTTCCAACTCCCCCCTATCATCACATTCCAATGGGACATATCAACCTGGAGAGATGAGTCAGCGTGAAGAAGAAGAAGCAGAAGACAACCCCCTGAAGATAAAGAAGAAGAAGAGCACAATTATTTATGGAGGTGACAGGCGTGGGGCCAGCAGGCGGCTCTTCCACCAGAACCCAACCTTTCTAGCAGATTAATGGGCAAGAAGCGGCAGAAGAGAGTTGTAAGCCGCGCTGTTGGACTTTTTGCAACACACACACAGGCCACTTGGTGTCTCCAGATCTACACACAAAAGAGAACTAAAATGAGGTGTAGCCAATCGGAGAGACATCGAGGGGAGACAGATTTTTTGGGGGATCATTGGTGGCTGATAGCTCATGGAAAAAAACAACGAAGAATGTTAAAAATATTTCGGGATAATTGGGAATTAGTGAAATTGAAGCATAAGCGTCGGGGGAAGATAGAACTACAGTCCTCCTACCGTCGAACCTGTAATAGAAGAGCCGGTCCTTCTATTTTTCCAAGTCCTTCCCGGAGGGCCCTTCTATTAGAAATCAATTAAAGTCAATTTCAATTAAAGGCTTCTAATACTTGTTTGACGGTAACCACCTTGCACTTCGTTGCATTTGTCTGCGTTTCTGTTTTTAAATTTTCGAAACGTTTTCTTGAAAATAACAGTACAAAGTCTCAAGTATTAAGCCTTGTTAAGTGGCTACTCAGATAGCGACCGCTACGCCGACACGCAACGCGCCCAAATTGGCTCGGCGCCAAATTTCAAGTTAACGTTCTGTTCCGCGATGCCGTGATTGTAATTCTTGTCAGGCGGCGATGTGTCCTGTGGCCTAAAATTCATTTTAAAAAACCGCGAAATTTTTTGAATAAATGCATGCGCCTTCAATACCGTATTTGAAAATTACTTAATTTTTGCCTATTTTCCTTAAATATTTGCTCTTTTTAGTCAATTTTCTTCCGGATTTTTATGAATTTTTGAATTTGTCACTGCATTTTTTACGGATCGTGTTGTAAATGCGCTCAAACGCGAACCACCGTAATACTACAGTAAAATTACTGTTGGTCTCGCCGCGAAAGAAAAAAAGGCGGGAAAAAAATGAGTTCTTTACATATAAAGTAGAAAAAAAGCCAAAAACAGACTGAAGTAAATTAATATCGTGGTACGATATCAAAGGCGCATGCATTGATTCTGAAAAAAATTCGCAGTTTTGACGATGCGCCTTTAACTGAACAGTGATATTCTAGCAAAATTCTGAACATTTTTTGGCATAAAACTTGGTTTTCTTGCAAGTTTCAAAGTGATTTGCGACCTCATTTTCATAATTTTTTCGCAAATTTTCAGAAAAATCATTCTCCCTTTTTTCCACATTGTTCCTCTACATATTCCCCAAACTTTTTTAGTGTAAAATCCGCGCGCAGTGTAACTCGAGTTGACCGCTGGTCTCAAAAAGTGCGCGTATCCATCGTAAAGCCCGTCTGTCACCACCACGGCTGGCAATATGCCAACTTTTCTCTCTGGAGCCAACCGGCTTGGTTTTGAAGAATAAGTTGGAAGAGGACTAGAGTGGATTGTTGCGGTAAACACTTGAAGAAGTGATGTCATTGGAATAAACAATTATGCAAAAAGGCACAATAAATATACATCAACAGAGATATGCTTAAAAAATGAAATTAAAATGAAAAGAACTGCAATAAACATGGAATTATCACTTCTGCTCGACCTTCTTGAACCAACGACGGCAGACAATCCCGTTGTTCTCCATTCGCATCACCAGTTGATTCTGATCGTCGATGGTGTAGAAGTAGGTCTCCGCCGAGGTATCCGGCTCGTTGAGACGAATGTGGTGCTCCGAGAGCTCCTCGTTTTTGAAGTCGAACGTAATCTGGTGCTGATTTCCATCTAATCCTGGCGCTTCGAACGATTTGCCGAGCTCCCATCCCTGGTAGTTGGTGTTCTTTTTTGAGGTCAGATTCTCCATGTTGTATCTGGAAAAAAACGATGATGTTAGAGAAAATTAGAAAAACTTTCTTGATGTATTCTATCAAATATTTATGCGGACTACTCACGCAGTCTGGAATCTGGACTTTTGAAACAAAACGAGAGAAAGTCTTGGTAGCTCTTGTCCTTTTTTCCGGTTTTTCTTCAAATATTTTTTGAAAAATTAGCCATAACTACACAATTCAATGATGTTTTTTTTCAAAATTCTCACTTTCCGGCTTCCTGATTAGCCGAGATGATTTTCGTGAGTCCGGCCAACTTGATCATTTGTCGAACGAACCAGTTGACACCTTTCGATGAGAGAAATTCGTCGAAATTCTCGCTTTTATCCAGTTGATAGCGACCAAAAAACTTATCCGGCACCGACATTTTTTTCCCCTTTTTTCCTGAAATATTCATGATGATGCAAGTGCGCGATTCGGTCTTTTCTGTACTTGGGGGTGGCTCGGGTATCAAAAATTGCATGAGATTTTTCGAGAATAACATTGTGGTCTATTTTTGAGAAAAAAATTTTTTTTTAGCAAGAAAAATCATTGAAATTGAGGGAAATCGATGAAAAACCGGAATTAATAATAAATTTCCAGTTGTCCTCGAGGACTACACGGCCTAGAGGACTAGAGTTTGCCTTGTGAATTTCTCGACGAATTGGTATCCATTTCGGCGCGAACTCAAACGAAGAAGTTGATGTTATTGAATTTTAATGAATTTCTCGGTCAAATAAACGGAAAATTGCCTGAAATTAGGTGTAGATATCGATAATAGCTATGAAATACGCGAATTTCCGAAGGAAATAGTCCAAAAATGAGTTTTCAGTTCGTTTTCATTCGTTTTTCGATATTTTTAAATTTTTGCTGAAAAAATGCAGAAAAATATAAAATTTCATCATTATGTCGGACTGGAATTTCGAAGAAGGTCAAAAAATTGAGATTCGTGAAAGAAAAAACGCCGGTAGCCGTGGCCGAAGGTCCCACAACGACAACTACCGTAACCTGAAAATATGTTTAATTTCCGGCTTTATCTTCTCGCTTTTCGTGTGTTTTCAGAAAATGAACTAATTTTTAAGTTACGGTAGTTTTCGTTTTGGGACCTTCGGCTACTGGCGTTTCTCATAGGGAAAGTTGGATCCCTTCGTTCTTTTATTTTCCTTTTTACATTTTTTTATTAACCATCTCTAGCAAAAAAAAAACACAGAATCTCGAATAATCAAAGTTGACACTTGGCACAAACGTCTTCTTCATTTATTTTTTCGCCTTCTTCTTCCTCCCCTAAAAAGAAGAAGTGTGGCGCCGCCCGTATGTTATGAGGAAGATGAAAAGCCAAGAAAGGCTGCTCAAAAAGACACTTTAATCAGATTGGTCAGACACATTTCGAAACGATCAAAAAACGAGAGAGCTTGCGATGCGAGGAGTCGCCGACATTTGCTCGTTTCATCCCCTCCTCCTCCTCCTTCTGCTCCTTTCACAGCTTCTTCATTTTTCTGGAAGGACATCATGGCCTTAAACTCATATGTTCTTCTTTTTCTTCTTCTTTCTCTCATAAATGTGTGCATTTCCGTCTTCTCAAATATTTTCTTTTCAGATATTTTCCCCTTATTCTCCTTTTTCTTATCCCCCACCATGTCGTGTCCCATCTGGAGAACCTAGTTAGGCAAAAAAGCAGCAGCACACACTACTTGAGATATCAAATTTCCATAAAAACTTTTTAGTACGTGGTTTTATGACGTGTTGGAGTTTCGGCTGCCGACCGAGAGCCACGTGACGCCTTCTGGATTATTCTGGAGACCTGTGTGAAGGTCCACGTATACCATGAATTTTAAAGTTGTTTGGTTTTTTTTTTGGAGCATAGTCTTCTGCGGTTTGCAGAATTAGGTCACTTGAACCAGAAAGTGCATTTTGAGCTCAATTATCTCGCTTCCTATGAGAGATATCAAAAAATTGTCAACAGGAAAAATATTGGTGATAATACGATAAACATTTTTTCACTGGACAGATTTTTGATATCTTTTAAAAGAACCGAGATAAGTGAGCAGACAGTTGAAAGTTCGAGGAGAAACCTGAAATATCTGGGTACTTCAACTTTGAACCCTAATATCTCTCCTATAAAAGATATCAAAATTTTGTCGACTAATAAAATATTGGTGATAATATGATAAACATTTTATCAGTGGACCCCTTTTTGATATCTTCTGAAGGAACAGAGATAATTAAGCTCAAAGTCAGCAATCTCTTAGATTCACTGATTCGGCCCTATTCAGCCAAAAAATAGGGGCTTTTGCAAAAAAAATCAAATAGTTTTTTTTTGCTTAAAACACTGAAAAGTAGCTAACTGAAAAATTTTTCAACTATCCGAAAATGTAAAATTTTCAAAATTTACAATTTTTCAGCCATTTTTGTCGAAAATTGCAGTTTCGGCACTTTTAATTAGGTACTTCCTCTTAATGAGCGATTTCTGTGAAGAAAAGTTTTTTTAAATGAGGAAAAAAAAGATTATGCCGAAACCTTGGTTTTCAGTACAAAATTTTCAAAAAACAAAGTTTTAGCGCCGCGCAAACGCGCTCTGCTGACCAAAACAAATTTCGAAGCTCATCCAATACGGCCACTTTGAGCTCAATTATCTCTGTTCCTTTAAAAGATATACAAAATTTGTCAACTAATAAAGTATTGATAATATTATGATAAACATTTCATCAGTTAACAAACTCTTGATATCTCTACTAGGAACCGAGATAATTGAGCTCAAAATTGACGGTTTCAATTGGCTTCTATTGGAGGGAATACGGTAGTTAAGCTATCACTTCCGTAGCGCAAGCTATAGCCTCGCGCTGTGTGAACGCCAGAGATGTCAAGAATTCCGACTTCCAACTTCCGAGTGGGAAATTTTACTTCCGACTTCCGGAAATAAAATTTTACTTCCGACTTCCGACTTCCGACTTCCCAAAATTTCACTTCTTGATAACTCTGGGGAACACCGATTATCGTACACCGTCACGTCAGAATGCGTACATTTTTCCGTGAGCCAGGTTCTCCAACTATGAAGAATCTGAATAGTTTTTTTTCTCCTTCTTCTTACTTCTTACTCCTACTTCCCCTTTATTTCCCTCTAATTTCAGAATCAATTCAGTTGTTTTTTTCCTTATTTTTTGTCTCACTTTCTTTTCCTTATGTGCTCCTGTCTCTATTCATTTCCATTTTTCCATGAGAAAAACAAAAGAAAAAACTATTTTTCTCCATCTCTCTATATTTTTTTTTCCAGAGCTACTACTACATTTTTTTCCATGAGAAGACATCATAAACATTTCACAAATTTTGGACATTCATCACTCAAAAAATACATGAAATATTCAATTCTTCTCCTCACAACTGCTTCTTTTCTTCTTGGTTTTCTGATGGGATATTTCTTGTGGATATTCTGTTTTTTTGGTTTTAGAAAAAACGGAATCTGTTGAAATCTGAAAACTAAACTTCCTAGTTCAAAATTATTAAAATAGATACAGACTTTTTGGCTTCTTTCAAAAATTTCAATTTACTAGACTTGCTCTGATTGGTCTAATGGAATCAAATGATTTCAAGTTCCCCTTGACATTTCCAAAGTCTCACAAAGCAATTTTGCTGAAAGTGATTTTCTGAAAAATTTAATTAAATTCAGAGTGCATATTGTGTGCCCAGGTGGTATTTATCTTGAGAAATGTTTTGGATGTATTTCTCTAGAATTGTCAAAAATTGAAACTTTTAACTTTGAGCCAATTTATCTCGACTTCTGTGAAAGATATCGAAAAGTTGTCAACTGATAAAATATTTTTGGATATATGATAAACATTTTGTCAGTTGACCACTTTTTGATATCTTTGACATGAGCTTAAATAATTGAGCTCAAAGTTAAAGGGATACTTTATTATGAATGCTCTAATAGAAGCCCACATAAACTTTGAGCCAATTTTTATCGGTTACTGTAGAAGATATCAAAAAAGTGTCAACAGATAAAATATTTATCATAATATCACCAACATTTTATCAGTTGAAAATTTTTTGATATCTCAATCAGGTAACGAAATAATTATGTTTGAAGGGACACTCTTTATACGGGGGATTCTCAGAATTCAAAAATTAAAACTCAAGTGTTATTTAAGCGTGATGGGAAAAAAATTTTAGAGGATTAGAAGGGCAAAAAAAGAAAAAACTTTGAATTTTTAAAGAAAACTACGTGAAGCTACAGAAGCTTGTGACCCTAGATAACCCATTGACCTCAGGATCAATAATATAAAAAATGAAAGAAGTCAAGGGAAGAATCAGTTCTCCTTTCTCGGGGCTCTCGAGAGGGGGGAGGGCTTCCGGGCTTCCGGGCTTCCGGGCTTCCGGGCTTCCGGGCTTTCGGGCTTCCGGGCTTCCGGGCTTCCGGGTTTCCGGGCTTCCGGGATTTCGGGCTTCCGGCCTTCCGGGCTTCCGGGCTTCCGGGCTTCCGGGCTTCTGGGCTTCCGGGCTTCCGGGCTTCCGGGCTTCCGGGTTTCCGGGCTTCCGGGCTTCCGGGCTTCCGGGTTTCCGGGCTTCCGGGCTTCCGGGCTTCCGGGCTTCCGGGCTTCCTGGCTTCCGGGCTTCCGGGCTTCCGGGCTTCCGGGCTTCCGGGTTTCCGGGCTTCCGGGCTTCCGGGCTTCCGGGCTTCCGGGCTTCCGGGTTTCCGGGCTTCCGGGTCCTGGTCCTGCTCAAATGCATACCTTTACAGCCAAATAGTCTAGAAAAGTTGTTCAACGGAACATAAAGCTACTCATAAAGTTCATATAGACATGCAATTACCCATTTTGTTCAGATCTCCCAACAAAAAGCCCTCCCTCTCTCTCTCTCTCTCTCTCTCTCTCTCTCTCTCTTTCCCAATTGACCCTGCTAATTCAATTTGACCGTCTTCTTCATCTCCTTCTTCTTCTTTATTCAATGTTGCCACTAAAAGGAGAAGGCTTCTATGGACCTCTTCTTTCCTTCCGACTCTTTTATACATATTCTCTCCATCCACACAACTTATCTCGGCTCTAAATCGTACGCCAAACAGCTCACGTCACTCCAATTCATCTTGTTCTACCAAAAAAACATACCGCCTTTTCTTTTTCTTTTTTTTTTGGCCAGAAAATCCTGGTCTATAATTTTGGGAAAAAGCTTGAATCACAAAAAGTGACTAGTACAAATTGAGGAGAACACACATTTGATGTCTCTTTTTCCCTTTTTTCTTTGGTTTCACTGAACTCGGGGGAGCTTTTTTCTTCTTTTTTGAAATCCGGGTTCTCCTTTTTTACACTTTTCTGATAGTGTCTAGTGTGTTTTAGTTTCTGAACTTTTAGATTTTTTTGAGATTTTCAGCTGCTTGCCTTTCTTTTGCATCAACTCAGGTGTTTCAGACTTTCTAATATTCAGACTTTTTTTCAGCAAAATTTCAATACGATTTCATTCAGTTTGGAGTGTTTAAGAAGCATGAAAAATCGAACCAACCTTATACGTCCTTTTTGAGCTCAATTATCTCGGTTCCTATTAGAGATATCCAAAATCTGTAAACTGATAAAATATTGGTGATATTATGATAAATATTTTTTTTAGTTAAAAGCTTTTTGATATCTTTCAAAATAATCGAGATAATTGAGCTCAAACGGTGGGCTTCTTTCGGAGCAAATGCAATGCTTTGGGTTTCAGTTAAATTGATTTTTTAATCTTAGGTTTCCTGCAATACTACCTTTTTTTTTCTTAAAAGTACTTGTTCAAAAAAAAAAAGAAAACTTCAAAAATTAACTTATTTGAATATGTGCAAAATTCCAATCAACTGAAGTCTCTGACCTCATTTTGCAGGACCCAAGAGCTTAGCTTATTGCACTTTGAGCTGAATTACCTCAATTCCTTTAAGAGATATCGAAAAATGGTCAACTGACAAAATATTGCTGATGTTATAATAAGCAATTTATCAGTAGACTCATTTTTGATATCTATCATAGGAACCGAGGTAATTGAGCTCAAAAATATTAGAGGCTAAACTAGCGAATTTGCATTGAAATCGTCTGAAATCTGAATATTTTTATCAAGGTGTACTGTATCAGAAAATAGGTTAATTGAGAAAATACAAAACTTTCACATTTTAAAAATAGAATGTGTTTCACCCGCCTGAAGCTTTATAAATTTCAGCAAAAAATGCCAAAACAAAATCCTGCATACCTAATTTGCTCTAAGCCCACCTCATATGTGCTCTTTGAGCTCAATTAACTAAGTTCCTATGAGAGGTATCAAAAAATTGTTAAATGATAAAATGTTTACCACATTATCAGCAATCTTTTATCAGTTGGCAAATTTTTGATATCTCTTATAGGAACCGAGATAATTGAGCTCAAAGTTGACAATTTCGGTGAGTTTCTATGACAGAAGCAAATTTTATTTTTATTTTTAAACACAAATTTTCTTCAATTGTCATAATTTTCTCTCATAAAAAAATCATCCCAACCATCTATTTAGATGTGTCTCCTTCTTCTATTATCCAAAACACCAAAATTAGTCTTATTTTCCAGAGAGAAAAACTATTGACAGCACCTAGCCAAAACTGTTTGCACAGACCACTCAATTAGCTTAATTTTCAGAAAGACGTTGAGTGTATAAGTAAGCGACCATTATCGAGTGTTTTTCAAGAAGAAGCAGTTTTTGGATTTTTCTCAGAAAAAAACCAATTTTTCAGACACACACTAATATTTTTCTGGCGTGTGTGTGTGTGTGTGTGTGTGTGAATATGGCTATGGCTCCTCTCAGTTTCCTGTTCCTTGTCTTTGAGCCAAAAAAATTATATGAATCATTGATTAAGTTATAAGAGTCATGACTTTGTGATTCTGTTTAGCATAATTTTTGTTTTTTTTTTACAAAAGCAAAACCCTTTCCTTTCAGCCATCTTCTAGGTAACTGTCCCTTAATAGAAGCCCACCTAAACCGTCAATTTTATCCCCATTTTTCTCATTTCTTGTGAGAGATATCAAAAATGTGTCAACTGATAAAATATTTATCATAATATCACACAAATTTCATCAGTTGACAGGTTTTTGATATCTTTTACAGGAAATGAGATAAAGTGGGTCAAAGTTGACCATTTGGGGGGAGGGGTCTGTAAAACCCGGACGTCTCCAAACTTTGCCCATATTTATCTCAGCTCCTGAAAAAGATATCTAAAATCTGACAACTGACAAAATGTTTATCATAATATCAGAAACATTTTATCAGTTGACACATTTTTGGTATCTCCGATAGAAACCGAGATAAATTGGCTCAAAGTTAGCAGTTAGAGGGATCTTGTATTAAGGGTTTAAAGGTGGGGGGACATGAAAAAAAATAATGTTCTCGAAATTCCGTTTAAATATGCCCCTCGAGGAGTTGAACTTGTCGAGACTAGTATTGACGGTGCGGCGCCGCTACCGACTGAGCCACGCGGGCAAAGAGGCAGCCGGCGCCCGATTGCATTCATAAAGGTGAGGACGACCGCTGTACGCAGAGTGACATTAAGCGTTGTACACCGTCACGGTAGAATGCATACCCTAGCTACAAAAATCCTACGAAAAATCTCCTGTCTCCCCACCTTTAACGATAGATGCTTAAAGAAAATAATACAAAGCTCTTTTTTTCTGAAACTTCCAGAAAAATCAAAAATCGTTTATTTTAATTTTTGAGACCATTTGTTTTCTAACTTTTCTGAGCTCAGAGTATCTTTAGAAACGTTAACATTTTTATATATCGAATTTAGAAATTCGAGAATTCAGCGTCAACTTTAAGCCCATTTTTATCATTTCCTGTAACAGATATCAAAAATGTGTCAACTGATAAAATGTTGCTGATATTATGGCAAACATTTTGTCAGTTAACAGATTTTAAATATCTTTTACAGAAGCTGAGATAAATAGGGGCAAAATTTGGAGACGTTCGGGTTCTACAGTACCTCCCCCAAATGATCAACTTTGACCCACTTCATCTCATTTCCTGTGAAAGATATCAAAAACTTGTCAACTGATGAAATGTGTGTGTGATATATGATAAACATTTTATCAGTTGACCACTTTTTGTTATCTTTCACAGGAACCAAGATATATGGGCTCAAAATTGACACCGGAAAGCCTGCACCATGAGGCCCCCCTCTTACCGTCAACTTTGAGCCCGTATATCTCGCCTCCTGTAAAAGTTATCAAAATGTGATCAACTGACAAATTGCTCAGCATAATATCAATAACATTTCATCAGTTGATCATTTATTTTGCTATTTCTCATGGCAACTGAAATAAAAGGGTCAAAGTGGACGGTGTCTGAAACCCCTTATTTTCAAATCTCAAGATCCCGTCTTCTCACAATCACAAAAACGAAAAACCTTCTCACATTAATTATTATCCTCTTCCAGAATCTCATATTTCTTTTTTGAATTCTGTGTCTCACGTCATCTGAAATCAGAATCAGAATCCCAAATTTTCAGAACGTCTTCACATCACACATGCTCCTCTGAATGCAGGACATGACTAAACCTGCGGATCCGAAGGTACAGTAACCATAGAATGTCAAAAATTTCAAAATGTTTGAGTTTCTAGGATACTCGCCGACCACCAAAAGTGGTCATCACCCAGCCGTCTTCTAATGATCTGATGCCACGTGTCTCCATCGACACCATCGACTCCTATCATCGCGACGTGTCTAAATCGAAGTGCTGTACAATTTTGTGAAGAAGGCCTAATTTTTGATTTTGTACAATATTCTAACCCAAAATGTGAAACAAGGAGTCGAATAAAAATCCTCAACCCTATCTGTTCTTCCATGTATGGCAATTGTTAGAGATAGAGAGATAGAGAGTAAAATAAGAATGTATGGTAAATAATAATTCCATGAGGGGGGGCAACATTTGTTTTGAGAGGTCAAACAGTGTGAACTCCAAGAGGACGACAATAAGTGGATAGTGCAAAATAGGTCACAGAGATGGGGGATAGCAAAAAAGAGCAATACCAAATACAAAGAAAATTCAATTATGGATGATTTGGAGAGGACGGAGGTGGCGAGAGGAGAAACGAAACATTTTCAAAGTAGATATTTATGGATTTTTGGGAAGAAGAGAATGGGTGGGGTGCCGAGATCCAGTGAATCGGGGGAAGGGACGCTACACAGTGTAAAGAGTTGGTGACCCGGAAGAACCGGGTAGAACTAACTTTTTGAGATTAAGAGGAAGGAGATGAAAGGGGGACGGGGAGGGGGTAGGTGGTGGTGTCAGCTCGGGGGGATCACGGAACGAGAATAGAATCAGAATATTAATTTCTGAGAATAGAGAAAGGGGGGGGGGAATGGGAATATAATAATACAATTGAATTGGAAAAGCAACAATGAGGAGACAGACAGAGACAGACAACATGAATAACGATATGGAGTTAATAGACAACGTGGAATATTTAGCGCATATCCTCATCTTCCACCTCATCTGGCTTCAGAATTCCGGGCACGTCGCGCTTTCGCTGTTGAGCTTGTTGAATCTCGGCCTCGCGCTCCTCGAGATACAGGTCCGATGTGTCCTCGCCATTGTGCTCCTTGATCTGGATGAGGAAGTCGCGGAGATGGTTGCGCATCGACGAGATCTCAGTGTTGAACGAGAAGAAGCCCTTGATGATGATGCGGATTTGGTCGCTGAAAATGAAATCGTTGGCATTTTAAATCTAATTTCTAGGTCAACTCACGCATTCATGTTATCAAAATGATTCTGGAAGTCGCTACCAATGCTCTCGTAGATGTAGTCAATGTTCGATTGTTGCGGATTCTCCATGTTCAACGGCACCTTGATCGAGAACTCTGGCGCACGGAACAGAGCACACAGCACCTCGGCGTAGTAGGTCAGACCGGCTACGTGGACCTGGGAGCTGTCACAAGCGACGGCAAGGACGTGCTTCAGGAGAGCGGTGTAGTATCGTTGGTAGAATGGCTGGGAGACCTTGTCCTCCTGCTCCGAGACACGAGCCAAAAGTTCTTTGAGGATGTCGAGACCTGGAAATTGGGAAACCGGTTTTTCAATTTGTCGGGTACTTCAATTAGTCCTGTGTTGTTTCTTTGCTGACGCGCTAAGTCTATTAGTGGAAAAGAAACTTTCCCTTTCAATCGGAATTTTCATACTGTCATAAAATCCATCACTGGCATATGGAACTTATAAGGTACTAAATGCATCAGTAACAAAGTCTGATATCCTATGCATGACAATTACATAGAAGATCGACGATCCTATCTTTTAAAGGCGCAAGTTGTCTCAGAAATTTGCCAACCGTTTTATTTTGTCATCATCGTCCTTGCGACGGAGATGTAGGAGTTACTTTTTGATTCCTCCAAGTTCTTTCTCTTATTTCACCCTATTCTCTTCCTCGCGAAAACACGGCAGTTGACACAGGAGGGGTCGCCTTCAAAGTACAATTGTATGTTGTAGAGCGAAGTTAGTTGTTTACCCACCGCCGATGCCGCTGCCCCACGAAATGATGACTTTGGTGCCCCGCAGCAAAGCCCATTTCTATATAAAAGCCACCAACTTTCCAATTTGCACTCCTTACAACGGTTTCAAATTCGCCAGGAGATCGTAACTAGAATGATCTTGTTTGCGTGGTTACTGTTTTTGGTAATACGATATTTTCAAAGTTCTCCCAACCTCCATTCCCTCTTCATTCATTCAATAATCTGTCTTCCACCATACGATTCCAGAACCTTCCAACCATGCCTCACCAACGCTACAACGCCGAGTGCGTCGACACCAAAGTGCTCACCGAGCACATTCACTTCCGTAACGGACGCGTCGCCTTGAACCGGCTCATGAAGTCCCCAATGTCCGAGAAGATCTACAATTGGGAAGATCCACACGAGACAAAGCGTGGTGTTCCGAACGCCGGTCTTGTCAACCTTTACGAGAAATGGGGATTCGGAGGATTCGGTATCATCTTCACTGGAAACTTAGCGATCGATCCAAAGCATCCATACGAGGCTGGTCAAGGGATCGTATCGAAGGAGAACGATAGTCCAGTGATGAGAGATTGGTATGCAAAGATGGCAAGAGCCATGAAAGCGAATCATGCACTGGCGATCGCTCAGCTTAATCATGTAAGATTCTAGATTCTTTAAGATTCTTTTTGGACGTTATATCGTTTTCAGCCAGGAGCTTGGGCATTCACCGAGTACACCGATGGAAGTGGTAAGAAGCACATCATCAGCGACGGTCCAGATGATATTCTAAATGCCCCGATGAGCGTGGTGAAATCCGAACTCATCGACCGTGTCGTCTACGCTGCGAAACTTCTCTCCAACTGTGGTTTCGATGGTATTGAGATAGCCTCTGCGTTCGGTAACCTCTTCTGTCAATTCCTTGGAAACAATAACAAGAGAACCGACGAGTATGGAGGTGCTGCTCTTGTGACGCGAACTAAATTCCACATCGACTTGTTGAACACAATCCGTAGAGAGGTTCCAGCCGCTGGAGGTTTTCTGGTTGGACTCAAACTCAATTCCGCCGACTTCCAAAACAACTTCACCAACGACGAGGTTTATCGCCTCTGTGAAATTCTCGATGAGGCCGGATATGACTTTGTGGAGTTGACCGGAGGACAAATGGAGCAGTGTGTGCAGGAAGCTCAACAAAGAGCAAGTACGATTGCTCGTGAGAACTACTTCTTGCAGTTCATTGAGACTGTTGCCAAATCGCTTCGCAAAACCGTTGTCTATATCACCGGAGGATGGCAGACAGCGTCCGGAATGGTTAATGCGGTGAAGCTTAACATCACTCAAGGTGTCGGATTTGCAAGAGCCGCTGCAAATGAGCCGGGTTAGTGGCTGCTTTGGAAAGTTCTCTATAAACAATTTCCAATTTCCAGATCTCCCTCGAAAGCTGCTCAGCGGTGTCGCCCATGCTACACTAGACAACAAATTCTCTCCGGCTGATTACTTCACCTCAAAACACGCTGCCCACTTTCAGATTAAGACCATGGCTGGACGCTCGATAAATGATGTTGTTAGGTAGACTTGCTTTGTTGAATTCACATTTTTAGTGGCGGCATTTTCAGACCAACCGACGGACTTGCTGATTTCACTGATGAAAAGGAGGCTAAGAATTTCGCCGAGAAGGCTGCGGACTACATGAAATTCGTGGTTGCCGATGGGAAACCAGACACTTTTGCCGAAGTTATCAAGTACACTCCTATTCATTCCTAGGCTCTCTTTTCTTCTATTTTGCCATGTATGACGTACTGCTAACGAATAAATTTCATAATAAATTCTTATTCGAAACTTTACAATTATCCAAGCATAAATGTGCCCAGCCCAATCATAGAAGAAAACACACTACAGCATACAAAAGAAGAAACCACAATTGTGACTGGCGTCGTCTGACGCCCTACTCTATCTTTTTCTTCTCTTCGCAGTTTCCTCTCTGCGTCTCTCCTCACTATCTATCTCTAGTTCCCTTGTCTTGATGCTCTCTGTGTCAATGCAAACATTTTGATCTCCGGGCCTCCTATATAAAGTTAATGATTCCTAGACTATCACTATTCATTTCTAGAATGCCTTATTCTCGTATTGCTGCTAGTGCTGTGGACACCGCCGTGCTCGGTGAGCCATTGACATTCCGTCACGGAAAACAAGCCAAGAACCGAATTATGAAGGTGAGTACTTTTACACTTTGTACTTTTGAGTCTAAATTTCAATTTTACAGAGCCCGCTCTCCGAGAAACTGTATCAATGGAATGCCCATTCAGAAGATCAGCGTGGAATTCCCACTGAAGAAATCATCAATCTCTACAGTCATTGGGGTCATGGAGGATATGGAATTATCCTAACTGGAAATCTAGGAGTCGATCCCAACTATGTGGGAGAAGCTGGTCAGGGACTTGTGACTGTGGAGAATACAAATGAGGAGTCGCAGAAGCAACTCCGAAGGCTGGCAGAAGCTATGAGGCTGGTGGAGGATTGGCGATTGCTCAGACTAATCATGTTGGAAGATTGGCTCAGTCTCACTATACCAATTCGTTGGGTGAGAAGCATCAGATCGTTGATGTTGTCAAGAGTCCTCTGGAGTTCTCTATCGAAGAAATCGAGGAGAAAATGTTCAAGCGATTCGCTCACGCCGCTTCCGTTCTCTATGAAGCTGGATTCGATGGAATGGAACTGCACTCCGCTCATGGGATGGTCTTCAACCAATTCCTTCTCCCAAAAAACCAACGAGCTGATGACTACGGTGGATCTATCGAAAACCGTATTCGTCTGCTTGTCAACACCTACAAAGCAGTGAGAGAAGTGGTCCCAGCGAGCACCGGTTTTCTGGTTGGAGTGAAACTAAACTCTAGAGATTTCCAAGAGTGTGGAATACCTCGTGAGGATATTGTGCGGGTCTGTGAGCTTATCGAGGACGCTGGCTTCGATTTTGTGGAGCTCACTGGAGGAGCTATGGAGACGGTGGTCAAGGAGGCTCAACAGAGAGAAAGCACCATCGCAAGAGAGAATTTCTTCCTGGATTTCGTTCAATTCACCAGCAAAATCTTCCAGAAAACCGTTGTCTACATTACGGGCCGTTGGCAAACCGCCAATGCCATGGTCGAGTCGGTCAAGATGGGTCTGACTCAAGGAGTTGGACTAGGACGGTGGAGTTGTGCGGAGCCAGATTTTCCAAAGAAATTGCTCGCTGGAGATATTCACTCTTGCCCTGATTACAAGTTCGCTCTCAGCGAGTTCGGAACGATGAAATTAGCTGCTCATTGGCAAATGAAACAGTTAGCACAGAAGAATTATGCGATTGATAGCAGGTGAGCGATTTTTTTATTCTTGAAATGAAACTAATTCAATTTTTTCAGCTTATCACAAAAAGTAACCGATTTCACCGAGAACGACGAGGCTAACCACTTCAGAAAAGCTTGCGGAGTTTACAAGAAACAGCTAGAGACCATTGGAACACAGGATAATCATGCGGGTGTTCTTGATTATGTGCCTTTGAAATGAATAAAGTATTTCCTCTCTTTTTTTTTGTTATTTTGCATCCCACATGAAAAAATAAAACTCACCAATCTCGGCAACATTACGCATTGTGTGCTGGAATGCCCAGACGACGGCGTCGATGACAGTGCCGAGATCATCGGAAGGCATCTCCATGAACACTGGGAAACACTCTTGGACCAGCGAGAGGACGAGCTCGAAGAAGTTGGTACGGTGCTCGGGGAACGCCTCCATATCCTTGTTGATCATGTCGATGCTGCATTGGAACACGGCGCCGAGGATGTTTGGTACTTGTGGGCACAGGAGGGACTGGAATGAGAATTATAGTATGGTAATTAGGACAGCAGTTTTTAACTTTCGAAATGTATGTGTTACTGTAAAACCTGTAATAGGAGGGACCCTTTTGAGCCACTTTTTCTCTGTACCTGTCAAAGATATCAGAAAACGGTCAACTGATAATATGTTTATCATAATAGCAGCAGTATTTTGTCAGTTGACAGATTTTTAGTATCTTGCAAAGTAGCCAAGATAAATGGGCTCAAATTTGACTATGTTGGCGCCCTTCTATTACAGGTGTTTCGGTCGTCTTAAAACACTAAAAACTTACTCCAAGCTGGGTGACGAGAATGCTGAGCAATGAGAGAACCTTCGGCTCTCTGGCTTGTGGCACATTCTTCTGATAATCGAATAGCACAGCGTCGAAGAGCGGTGGGACGATGCTCTCTAGAATCAGCTTGGCATCACCGTTCTTTGAGATGAACGTGGAGAGGAGGATGAGAATCTCTCGCTTCACAGCACGCATCGTCTTCACTAACGGATTGCGCAGCGCTTCTTCTCCAGCCGCGGTCACTGCACGAGACACCTTCTCGGAGAGGATTCTGGAAAATTTCGAATTCTTTGTGATTCATCGTTACCCCCCTCCTCTAGAACTCACTTGTAGACCGAGAGCAAGTCCCCATAGATATTTCCAAGCTGCGAGACAAACGCGGATCCAATCGACTTGCACGCCGCCACATTGGTCTTCAGAATATTCAAAACGGATCGAACCATTTCGTGCTCCTCGAGAACGCCGTCGTTCGTCGAAGCGGCGGCTATGATATCGCTCCAAGTGCGATTTGGAATATCCATCAACTGCATGATGAGATTCTCCTGAAGATTTCCGTCGATCTGCGCCGAGATTATGTGACCGACGGCTTCATAGAAAACGTGCACTTGGGCGTGCGATAAATCACAAATGATTCCGGTGAGATTCTCAAGCATCTCCTCAACAAACGGCTTGTTCTCAGCTGGCTGAACGATAACAAAGTGTCTCTTGCACTTGATGGCGATTTTGATGAAGGTGTCGCAAGCCATATCCTGGACTCCTTCGTGTGTCTCGTGCATGAATTCGAATAGTTTGTTGATGACAGTCTTCAGGAACTTCCAGTGAGCTCTTAAGAATCTTGGGTACTGTCCGACGACGTACATGATGTTCGAAGCAATCACAGCCTTGTTATCCTTTCCTCGTTTCTGCTCACAGAGACCAAGGAGATCCCGAATGACAAGAACAAGGAATCTCTTCTCGTCCTCCTCAACCATAGTTCCCGAAATGGATCCAACCGCCCAGCACAATCGATTCAGATTCTTCCACGAGAACTCTCCTCCGTTGACCTGCGACGCGAGCTTCTCAGTCATCTTCATCTCGGTATCCTTGTTGTCCAAATGGGTCAAATAGACTAAAGTCTCACGCATGTTCCGATACAAAGCAATGGAATCGGTATCCTTGACCATCTCACGAACCACCTCTCCCTGATCATTCTCCACAATCAGCACTTCTTCTGGTTTCGCCATTCTGGAGATCATAGCAGAGCGAAGAGTGGATAGATACTCTCGGTAGAGCTGGCGACGTGGATGCTCACGAGTATTGTTCATCATTCCGTAGATGGAGCTTGGTTGAATGAACGGTGAGATTCTGTAGAGCTCAGCGGTCAGCCAGCACCAGCAATCGAGGCACACTTTGAACACTTCCATCTCCTCGATCAGAGTGATCTTGAGAAGGAGGCGAATGGCGTAGTCGTGAGCGTCGCGAATCATGATTTTGGCTTCGGACAGCGGCTCGTCAGTGATTTCGATGAGGTGAACGTGCTCCTTTAAGAATGCGACCAGGAACTGGGCCAAGCTGCTGATAAACTTCTGATCCTGATCAGAGGCCTCCTTGTAGACAGCCGCCAAATCTAGATCCAACGAGAGAACCGAAGAGATATGGCGCATGGTGGAGCAGAACATCTTGCAAAGCTTGTCGTTGTAGCTCGGATCGTTAGTCTCCACTTGGATTTGGGAGATCTCAGTGAGACATTGAAGGGTGATCACACGGTAGACTTCCAAGGAGAGGAAGTTTTCCGAGAGGAGCTCGGTGATGTTGGTCTCGAAGACGTAGCCAACTGGAATCCAGGTCAGGAAGCGTTGAAGGGTTTTCAGGGTAGCTTGAACCATCGAGTTGGATGGACATTTCTCTAGGATGGAGACACAGAGGGTGAAGACCTCTTGGAACTGTCCACAGAACTGTTGCTTGAGGTGTTGCTCCTTGGCTTGCGTGAGGTTTTGGGATCCAAAGTCGAACACTTCCTCGCTGAAAGATTATAACGTTCAGAATCGAGATTATATTAAAATGTAGAGTTCCGGTCGATATGCGCCCATTTTGACCGATTTTCGGAAGTCTTGAAAAGTTAGGAGGGTTTAAAACAGACCTAGATTGTTAACTTTGCATTTACTGAATTTTTAGAAAATTTCTAGTTTTTCAGCTATTCGCCGATTTCTGAAAAACACCCATTTTCGTCCGTTTTCAGTGCAAAAACAGGTGTCTCTCAGAAATCGGCACATATCGCAAAACCTGTATTAGAAAGCCCCTTTAATATAAGGGCCCCCTCTAATAGAAGGGCCCTCCGGAGGTACCTAGAAGGGTCGGCCCTTCTAATATAGGTCTTGCGGAAGCTGAAGAACTAGGAATTTTCAAAAAAATTCGGTATTTTACGCTTTCAAACGTTTTCAAAATGATTCTACACTTGAAAGCCGAGCTCCAGACTCTGAAAACGGTGAAAATGGCTGAAAATCAACTTATTGACCAGTATTGTATATTATTACCTCAACAAGCTCAAAATGTTCATGTTATTGATGCAAACCGTCTCGTTGGTCTTCGACGAGTCGACAATATCGGTGATGAACGTTGGCCACGCTTTTGGCCAGTCTTGCTTGACGATTTGCACCAACACCAGGTTCATTTTATGGAGCAACAGTTGGTTGGAAGCCATGGTCTCCTGCTTGCTCGAGAGCTCCAACATCTTCGAAATGATGTAAGTCTTGATGCCCTCGCGTTGCACCTGCGGCAACGACTTCCATTTGTGCTGAATGACACCTTCGAGGATTTGAAGCGCGAAATATTTCGACTCGTTGAGATTCGAATATTGCAAAATCGCGTCGACTTTGGTCCACGAGTCGCGATCCTCCTTGAGCGACATGAGGATGTGGTTCGCTTCGGCTTGTTCTTTTCCGCTCATTTGGTTCATGATACGGACCACTTGGTCGAGCAGGTTGACGTCGATGCGGTCATTTTGGGCAAATTGCTGTTTGGCTTGCGCGAGAACTTCCATTGTTTTGGGTTTCTGAAAACCACATTTCAGGAGAATGTAACATTTTTGAAGTGAGAAAAAATCAACTCACCAGACGATGTCGAAATTGTCGTCCAGATGGTTTCAGTAGTTTTGTTTCAGGTCAGTCTCATACACTCACGCACACAAACAAAAGGGGCTTTATCAGCGAGAAATCGGTATTTATCGTTTCAACAACTCTCGCACTCACACACACTCTCACGCTCTCTCTCACACAACGCAGACGAAGTCGGGAATCGATCCGGCCCTAGTTCTGAAATATAGACAAAATAATAAAGATTTATTGGATGAAAATAGAGAGAAAAAAATTGAGAGAGATAGTTCCCTTTTCATCATGAGACCGGCAAAAATTATCTTCATGATAAGGGCACCGCTCGATATACGTGCGAAAAAAGAGATGACGAAAAAAACCGAAAGTTTCGAAACAAGACAAAAAAGAACCAAAACAAGTAGCAGACGACGACATGGTCACAAAATCAATAAGGACACCTCGATGAGTGCAGCCGTCCGTTTGCTGCTTCTGTCACGTGATGTGCATAGGCGTCGGCGCCGCTGCGTTCACAAACAGACACACTCCAAATAAAAAACAATAAGATTCGAAAAGAGTCACATGATCTCTACTTGTTCGTATTTGTAGACATGGCAACTGAGCACCCAGAAGGCCGCGCACGTGACCTACGCACCTAGAAACGCGCTGCGGGGTAAAAAAAACACTGGAGGAGGCAGATTTTAAGAAGAAGAAGCGTAGACGATGTCTTCGATGCTCTGGTCATCTCTATCACGAGACGGCGCGGGGAAACCCAGCCACCACGAGAAAAATAAACGAGAGTCAGCGCAAGTAAGCCGCCTCGCGGCGCTTTCCGTTCGAATTTTTTGCGGTGCGGTGGAGCGCGTTTTCAGTGCTCGGTGCAAGTGCACCTGACTTTGCTGGTTATTTTTCGGCAATGTTGCGAAAAGATTTCGACACTTTTTGAATTGGAAATTGAATTGAGAAATCAACTAGATGAGAAGAAGTGCGAAAACAAGTTTTTGCTATTACTTGTAATCGCGTCGAGACTCCTTGCTCATTTTAATAACATGCGCCTTTAAATTACAGTCAGAAATCTTTTTTTTTTTGGAGGTACGACGAATTCGAACGTTTTCAAAATCGAACAGACCTAAAATCGAACAGATTCCATTCAGACCAGTCCTTCTTTTCGCACACGTACCAGAACAGAACGCGGACAGAATCGAAC